AGCTCAGACTAAAAGCTAAAGCTAATTATCTGTGACCTAAACCTACTAGAGTGGTCAAAACTCACCTAGGTTTTAATAGTTAGTATGTAGTTTGTAGAAATGCTGAATTGTATCCATGCTGTCAACCATTGGCTGAATTTGTGTTGTGCCTGCCCTTCAGGAGGGCAGTTATTGTTATCATGCTGTTGGTCTGGTATTACATGTAGTTCTTTCATTATTATACATAATTATTATATTATAGTAATTTATTAAAATTGTTTAATATTTATTACAGTATATCAAGCTAATTTAATATTAAAAGATTAATAATTTTTTTTTTTAAAAAAAAAACCATAAAAAAAGATGTAAAAACCTCTGTAAAAAACAATCAGATATTCTGACAATTATCTAAAGAACATCTTTATCTTGAATTCTTCTCTAAAACCTAAACTACTCAGATATTTATTTCCCACACCTGGTACGTACCGGATTAAAAAAAAACGTGCAATAAATAGAAAACGCCAGATAATCTGCGATACGTAGCATAATCTGCACATATGACGAAAAGGGAAAACCTGTAAATCATTTACTTATTATTATAATGACTTACAGGTTTTCCCTTTTCGTCACTCATATATCTGATTTTTTACCGCAGAGGCATATTGTATATCAGGCATAATTAATTGAGCATAATCTGCGCATAAAATGACCGGAATTAAAAATAGTGTAAATATCGGGTTTACTAATTTCCCCACCAGTTCCTATTAGTTCCTAATTAGACACATAGAAATCTTGCTTTTGATTATAAATTGAGATTTTCATTTCGATCAAATAACAGCACAAATGTTAAAAGTAATAAAACATATCGTTAAAGCAGTATAATAGTTTAACAAGAAACGGTTCATGTCATTTGCCCGACATTCTTTTTGTAATTTTATCTTATACGGATCTTGTGATTTAATTGGTAAGTTACTAATGGTTTCAGTAACTTACGATAACGATAAATTATGATAAATTTACAACTCTGATGATTGCATATTTATGTGATTCGCATAATCTGCTGCATAATTTTAAAAAATTTATTGCATAATTCTCTTAAATCGAATCGTGAAGCTGCAGAATTTGAGGTCTGTCGCAGCAGAAAATGAGAATTCCTAATCAGAATTATGGAGAAAGTCTCCGGACACCTACCGTTTCACGTGATTTTGCACCTATTATAGGGTTAGGGCTTATTATATTAGGGTTTATTGGTGGTTTATATTTGGTAGCAGGTAGTGCAAAAATGGTACGTACGTACGTACTTACGTAGGTTTACCAGAATTATGGTTCACGAGAGTGTTTGTGATCCTTACCAAGAAATTGCACATACTGCGCCAAAAATATAGTATTTTTTAAACCTTATGACTTTATACTATTTTTTTTAAAAAAAAAACTGGCCGATAAATTCGTAAAGCTCAAATTTGTATATAAAATTATCGGTCGATTTTTTTATAAAAAGTTTAACGTTTTAGAAAATGTTTTTTGCCGCAGTATGTACAATATGTGCAACCAAGCTGACCAACTGGCCAACTTCGACCAAAAATTCTAATTTATAATCAAATTTTTATTATATAAAATTTGACGACCAATGGGACATTATGCTAAATCATCACATAAAAATAAGTCACATTCCACTAGCTATTTTCATGTGTACGATTTAGTATCACACCTTCGTGCCCATATGATGGTTTGAAATTATTCCCCTTTGCCCAACCCCACCAATGGCCGGCCAAATAGTTATGTGACAACGCTGAGTATGTCGAAATACAATCTTATTGTCAACCATGATCACGAGAAAATTGAAACATAACGTTCATTACGTAATTTTAAAAAGGGAGCGACGAAGGGGTTAGCAGTCTATATATTATATGTAAACACTACAATTGGCTAATTCGATCACCTAGGGGGAGGGGGTCTAACCTACTTTTTATAAATAAATTACGCAATAAACGGTTCTCCCGGCACCATATAAATACTGTTCCTGGATATACAAAATTCTAATTTATATTAAATATCTAAAATTTGTGTACCGGTCGGCTATCAGAAATGGCAGGTTATTAGGTTTAGAATACCAGCGTTTGCATTTGGACTAATCCAAATAGTTTCGATATTTCGGAATTTAACACTAATCTGACAGCCTTACTCTTTCGATTCGGAACATTTCGGAACGCGTTCGATTTGGACTAAGTGCCTTATGTCCAATGAAAGGAAAAAATATGGACAATATAGGCATAGTCCATAAATGTCCATGTCCATGTTCATATTTTGCAAACATTGTTACAAAATGATTGTTCGATTAAGTGTCGAAAGTGCGACCAATCAAGGCCACGTGCACAAATACCGGATAGTATTCCAATGCTATAAGCGCGAAAGCACTTTACTAATATTCGAAACACTATGGTGCCGTAGTTATGACGCCGTTTCGTGCTTTAATAACTGTAAAATTTTTTTTTTAAAAAAAAAACTTTACTGATTCAAAAATGGTCTACCCTCCAAATTTGTTTACTAATTCCCCCCCCGCTTAATCGTAGTTATTTTCTTGCTACATATATACCTCAATAGTTAAGACCGTGACCATAGCTAATTATGATGCTATTTATGTTTGATTAATGAAATGTACACAAAGTATATTACTGTGAACACTTTATTTTATCGATCGCGTGTATTTCATCATCAAAATACTTGTATACCCCAAGAATATGGTCTCATTTGTTACAGAAGAATAAATTAATAATCTATAAATACAGAAAGAAACGTAGCTTATAATTAAATAAAATTAAATTCGGGCCTAAAGGTCCAGATACAATATATATATATATATATATATATAGCATATTATATTATTTTAATATTTGGTGAATTTTTAGCCTCTTCAATTAACACAGGATCTTTGTAAGGTAAGGTAATAGTACCATCACTCAAATATTGTTTGTTGTTACTTTCAATATGTTCAAGTATATAATTATAATTTATCATTATACCAAATGACTTTTCAAGACCTTGTTCTTAAAAATTCAATAAAGATTAGATAGGAATTTATAAAGTAAATGAATTTATAAATAAATTATTCATAAAACAACCTGATGTATCTCCTAGCCAATTTAAGCGATAAACACACGCACCGTTGCGAATATGAAAATTAGCTTTGTACAAATTCAATATAATTAAAGAGAAAAAAAAAATTTTTTTTAATATATAAAATAAGATAGTATAAGCAATTTAATATAGTATTTATACATACCAACAGGATCGAGTGCAAAATTTCTTCGCTTCTCAGTAAGGATATATCTTTTATAATGTCAATGTCAATTATATAAATAAATTACATTAAATAACAGTTTTTCGATAGATTACCTTGCACATAATCTCAACAAAATAGGTTTTAACACTTGAACTGAATATTCATCCTTGAACCACTCATTTTTTTTAATAATATCATATAGTATTTTTGTAGCATCAGTCTTATCTATCTCTGTATAAAGTTCAGAACTGTTTCTAGTGCCCAGCTCCTTAATTCTTTGCGTTTCTCCGTTTACCAGTATAGAATCACCTTCAATGTTTATTGCAGTGGCCAACCAACGATGAAATCCGGGTATTGGGCTCAACGTTGAAAATGTTTCAATATATGGAAATTCTGATTGTAACTTACGAACTACACTCTTAATTAAGAAGTTTCCAAGTTCAATTCCCGATAATCCCGGGTTATTTGTGACTGAATAGAACATAGCACACTTATAATCTTCAGGTGTTTTTATAGAATCTTCAGTATTTGGCTCTTCTAGTATAGCCTACCAAATCAACAAATTTAGTATTCATTTGTTAATTATTGAGGCAAATTCAATAATAATAATAATAATAATAATAATAATAATAATAATAATAATAAAAACCTGCACGTTCCCTGAAACTTCTTTAGTGAATGCTACGTGAATAAAGGAAAGGGGCTCATATGGAAGTCTACCATAAAAAAACGCAAATAAGAGTCTCCCTATATGTAATGTATAAATAGAATCAAATTATTAGTAAATGTGATATGAAAAATTTCCGATACAATCTTAACATATACTACCGGGCCCGACACGTCTATTCAATGGATGAAATAAAATAAGAGACTTTTAACTAAAAAACTTAATTTGTATTTCTATCAAAAACACAAAATAATAATAATATTTTATATCAAAAACCTTTTCATATCCTGCCAATCTTTTATTGCGTGTACTGCTTCATATTCTTTAACCTAATGTTGAAAAAAAAAAACCATTGTTAAAACATAAATTTAGTTGCAATTTTATTAAAACTTTAGCTTACTTTTTCCAAAACTTTTACGGGCGAATCCCACGTAATTTGCTTTAAAACAATAGATCCCAGCAACCAAGATGCCAATTTTTCCTTCAAATTCTCATTTATGGTGGAAAGAACCATGTCATGAACGTTTTCACGCATAAAAGACTTAAATAATTGATAAAAAAAATTAATTCTATAAAGATAAAAAGTAATGCAAAGGTGTAGAAATATAAAATATGAAAAACAAATAATTTACCAACAAATCAGCACGCATATCTATCAAGAATTTAGTTCCTTCTGGTAATTCGTTTACGCGATCAAAGAAAATGTTATGTGACGGTATATTAGCATGCCGTAAAATTTGTTCAGCACGTTGTGTTGCTCTTCCGTACTAAATAATATAATTATTAATGGATTGATTCTAACAAATAAAATTATTTCAATAAAATGTTGCAGCTGAAGCTGGAAATTAGGAAATTCCTATTTAAAAATATGAACCCTTCTATACTTTTTTATTATAAATTTTAACCCAGCCCTACCTAACTATATATAAAAATACATCCCAAAAAATTTTAAAAATTTCATATTAAAATAAGTTCAATTTCCAGCTTCAGTCGTTTCCAGCTTCAGCAGAGACAATAAATTAAAGCTGTACGGACGAGAAAAATACCTACGGCATCTGCATCAGATAAATTCACGTAATTTTGTGCGGCATCAATGACATTTTCTCTTAATACACCTGAAATAAAAATTGTAAGCACGTAAAAAAATATAACAAATCCTTATCATATCAAATTTAAAGATTACAATACTTGCCAAAATCGCGAGCAAGTATAGTTATGAACTTTATTCTATCCTCCTGATTATAATAATGAAATAAAAAAAAAACTTTAAATATGTCTTATTAAAACAAAAATTCTTTCCCTATAAGCGAATACCTTATCAAGATTCTCATACAATTTGCAACATTTTATTATGATCTTTCTTGGAAACGTATCTCCGCTAGTCTTTCTCTCGGCAACCGCGCCCGATATTAACTTTTTCATAAATTCAGAATTTTCAATTGCTAATTTAGAACTTCGCTTATCAAACCCTTTTATCGTAAAAGGAAATCGTCATTATTAGATAATCATATGGGTGTATATATTTTATCAATATCCATATATAATTTTTCTTGTACCAAGCTTATGCCAGAAACTTTCTAAAACATTGGATGCTTCAGGAACCGAATTCGAACTACTATTTGATGGATCATTTGATGAACGTTTATTGTGCATAGAATTATTCGAATAACTTCTATTATAACTCATCATCGAATATATTACGAAAATAGTCTTTAAAAAAAAAAAAAACAAAATTCACATTAGTTTTGAAGGCAAATAAAAAATCAGAATATATAAATATAGACACCTTTTTTTTGTAGAATAATGGACGACAAAATTTTATATTCGATAATCGAAAGGCAGACGAGAAATACATAATCTAACCTTTTCGAGACCCTAAAAAATAAAATTTCGGTTAAATATGAAGATCAAGATTTTGTGGCACGAGACACATTTACCTAAATCAGATAATTAAATTTATCATTAGCGTCTATATAAGGTATTGCGACGAAGTTAACAAATTTCGAACATAACACATGATCTGTCGATTAAAATCGAATGATTTTAGTAATGTTTGATTCGTTTCATTGAGCTGAATCGATTGATACCAAAATCATTTGATTCAGATCACCAGATCTCGAGATATGCTAATTTAAAGTTTTAAGAGATTTTTTTGTGCTAGAGGGTATTGTGACGAATCGGGAATATCTCGTGACCCTATGATCAGAATCTAGCGATTTTTATATCATTCGATTCTTCTCGATGAGAGGAATCGAATGGTATAAAAATCGCTAGATTCTGATCACAGGTTCCCGAGATATTCCCAATTCGTCACAATACCCATTTACTATAGGATTCTATATATTTCTATATATCTAAATGGGTTGAACATGAATATCTCGTGATCCATTGATCCAAATTGGGTGATTATTATACCATTCGATTCCTCTCAATGAGAGGAATCTAATGATATATGAATCGCCCGATTTGGACCACTGAGTCACAAAAGTATTTATTTGTAAAAATGCAAAAAAGTATATTAATTTTAATATCTCATGGTATAGCGGTCAGAATCGAATAAAACTTATACCATTCGATTCCTCTCACCGAGACGAATCGAATGGTGTAAATTTCACCCTATTCTGATCACGGGATCACGAGATATCCCGATTCGTCACAATACCCCACTTATAACTTATTAATTAAGGGTGTTCTTAACGTTAATCAATCTGTCTGAGTGAATTTTTATTGGTAAAAAAATAGTTTAACGAATCAATTATTCCAATGAATAAAACACGTGATGAAAGTTAATTAGCTTAACCGTTCAAGGGTATTTATCATTTCAATCAACAAGAGATAGAAACCCAAACGTCCTTTCTTTATCGTAAAGTTGCGCTTATTGATCGAAATTTTTCATTAAATTGATTGATTAGAAAAAGTAAAATTTCAAGGACTCCACTCTTTTTACATTATCATTATCGTTACTAACGTCGACGAATTATTACCTTATTACTTATGCTAAAAATCTTCGCAGCAAATAAAAAAGGCCCATTTTTGTGTTCTGTTAGTTTGTAGTAAATTCTGAAAAAGAAGAAACAGAATTTGAAAGTGTCATAGATTGCTTTATCCTTTCGTTATTTCGATTTGTAAAAACAATAATCGCAAATGGTAATTATAAAAATGTTTGCTCAAGCATCAATATTTTAATTAATCGTAATACTTGAGCACCAACGCAATCATAAATTAATCACATTGAGAAAGATACGTTCTATTGGTCTTCAACATCCATATTTCCGAGGCTTAGGTTGTTCTCAAGCAGCACCTTCGATGAGATTTGCTAGTTGCTCAATCATTTCGATTAATCGAAGTTAATTGAAATGATCTTTATGCGAACAATCAGAGTAGCTGAAAAAAAAAAGATGGTTGTTAGGTCCAGACTTTTTTGATCAATATGATTAAACACGATCCATTTTTTCAACCAATCAGATAATTTTATTAACCATATTCTAAAAACGTGAAACCTATTTTTATCAAAATTTGAACTGATAAACTTTATATGCAATAAAACAATAAAGGGTTCTCAATCAATTAATAATGATCATGGTAACGCCATCACAATCAATGATGACATTTATGCTTGAGCGTACTCCCAATTTTTTTATAATCTTCTCTACGCCTCCTAAAAACTTAATAAAATATTTTTTATTCAACCAGCTGCCGAAGCTTCAACTTCAGTTTCACTGGCTTCACCTTTTAATGATTTTACCAATTAAATTTTTGTTGCAACAGTAACTGAATCAACTTATGGAGAAAATTGCTTTGCGGAAACAAGTAAATTTTTTAAAAAAAATTTTTTTTATAGACTATCTATAGTAATTCTGCATATGCTATTTATTTCACATTGAAAGTATCATAGGTAATGCGAAAATATTTTTTCGAAAAAAAGGTATAACCTTTATTATCCGTTAAATATAGAAAAACGTCTTCCCAAAATCCTCCAGTTTTTGGGTCATCTTTGCTGAAAAATTATTAAATTTAGGTGAACGAAAAACGGAAAAGTAGTATTCATTATAGTTTGATTAAAGGTTAAAAGATGGGTTGCATTTATTACGTTCATATCAAGGTATTGATTATTTTCTTTAAAAGCTTCGAGCATTTAAAATAAAATAGCTATTTTTTTTTAGGTCGGATAGAAATTTGTTGAGAATTCATTGTTTATCATGTAAAAAATGCAAAAGTAATGCTTGAGCGACCTTTATCAATGGTAAATTTTTGAAAAAAAAGATGGTTTGTAGCTCGCTGATCTGTTCATCGAAATGGCAGCTCACTTGGTTAATTTATTCAATTTTCGACTATTAAAAATTTGCCTCCGATCCATTGAGTGAGGCGCTTGAAAACCCCGAAATACTGAAATAAGAAATTGAAAATTTTTTTATTTAGGGTGTTCTCAAGCAACTACATGGATGCGATTCATAGTGATCGAATTAATGCATAAGTATTATGATGAAATTTAACCATTGCATTGTCATAACATTTTGGATAAAAGTCAATAATATGAATGACGATGTTATTGAGATATGCTCAAACATTATTATTACTGTGATTTTCTAGATGCTCAATTGCAACGATAGATCAAAATAAAGATCTAAATCACTACTTGAGAGAATTCTAAATAGTTTATCGAAGATTTTACAAAAAATGTGTTTCGATAATGAAAATTCATAATAAAAAGTATGAAAACACCTGAGAAATACTTTATTCACATTAATATTCATAAGTTTTGATAAGTCAACGCAAAAAAAAAAGGTGGTTCGGGGCAAAAAGTTCTTTGACTGAAATGGTAAATTCACTGTTCGTTTTTTTTACTATTTAAACCTATTCTTTCACGTAATAAACTACCTTACTTATCTTGATGACAAGCTCGATTGATAGATTAAAGATACTTTCTGTTGACTAAAATATAATTCCCGATACATTTACATACTTTGACCCATTACCGTATTTGCGCGTAATAACGCGCATGCGCGGTAATCCGAATCATTTTGACAAATTTGGGTTACAAGAGAAAGCCCTACTTTCATTAATGAACTTGGTCCGAAAAATTCGGTCAAATATGTAATACGGTATATCTAAGGGGACGCGTTATTTTGGGACGCGCATGGGCGTTATTTTGAGTCAAAAAACAAATTTTAAAAAATGGGAGTTTCGAAATAACGCCCATGTGCGTTATTACGCGCAAATACGGTAGTTGAGGCGCTTGAGAATGCCCTTACCGTATTTGCGCGTAATAACGCCCCCCTGCGCGTTATTTTGAAACGCGCATGCGCCTTATTTTGAGTCAAAATGTCATTTTTTTTGAAATCCTGTACCAGTATTCGTAATTGGTTTCCGATCAGCGACAAACACTTCAAAGACATCGAACGTACTTCAACAAGCTTATTTTACAGACGATTAATTGGCCGTTTGAAATTATAATTTCGTTTAACGTTCCCTTACGAAGCTTAAGTGTGGTGGGAGATTGGCCTGTTTAATTTTAGGGGAGCTCTTGGAGGCGGAAGGGAGAGAACGTTAAACGAAACTATAATTTCAAACAGCCTAAGTTCATTTCGTAGACAGTATATTTCCCGACAGCCCATTTCACCGACAAGTAATTCTAATTAATGT